ATAAAAACAAACCAAAAAATCAATAACAACACATTTTAATGGGTAATAGGAGAGTGAACAGGGACAGACAACTTAAACAAAAAAACACACAAAGCGTACTGTAGACAAAGCAGCAATTTGTGGCAGGTGATTTGCTTTCAGTGGAGTTCGGCTCTCTTCAAATTAGCACCCTGAGTTTCCCAGCCATTGTTTGCTCCTTCAGTTTCCCTTGTTTACAGAGAGATTGTATTGCATTGTTATTCAGCTGCCTGGACACTGATTTCCTCAAGCACATTTTGATTGGTTTTCTAAAATTGTACATAATTTGTATTCATTAACTTGTGATTACAAAAGGAAGAATGGAGGGTGTTGAAAGCAATATTAACAGCTGAATAGCAATATCAAGGTAACCTTTTGTTAAAGTGGTCACTATCCAATCAGAAAGCTTTATGGTAATAAGAAAGGGCTACAGGAGGAGCTCACATTAAAGCAAGAGCAACAGGTATCACACTGCTGTTGTTCCTTTGTATTCCACAGATAGATGTGTGTGTGTAGCACCTCCATTCAGGTAATATCAGTATAAAGTATCTATATGAATACTTAATTTTTTTTTTTTTTAACATGTGACGTATAAACGATATATTTGAGGACACTGTACTCATTATTTTGACCAGCTACTAGCGACTATTTTAAAAAGGAACAGTATGTTTAAACAAAGCCGCTCTCAGTTGAGAACAGGATTTTACCTCAGCTGCCCGCCCTGGCTCTCTGTGTTCTTGTTATGTGCTGCAGTTTTCTTGAGCCCAGGTAAGTGCACAGACTGAATCACATGAATCTACCTATGCATGTATAAATGGTAAATATGGTATATTTATCTACTGCATAATACTGTTTTAGAAAAACTAACATTAAGTAAGGCATATTTTTATAGACTGTAATTGAGACCTTCACATCTATTCTCTATTGATGTCTGCTGAGACATAGAGCTCAGTGGTGTTAGTTTTCCATGTTACCATGGCGCCCGGGCTGTCCAATCGGAGATTATGTTTGGAGATGATTGTTGACTCCCTAATGTTCCTGGGACTTACATATGTGCAACGTTTGTGTGCGTGTGTGTGTTTTTCCTTTTTTAGGGTGCGGCTCTTATACTGGGCAGCTCTTCTTATTTTGACTGAGAAGTATATTTAAAGTTTATTTTATGTACTATAGACAAACAGAATTATCTGAAATGTAGTTTATGTTTATGTACTTTTTCCCACTAAGCACTTACAGTTGTGGTCAGAAGTTCACATACACTCATTATGGGTATGAATATCATGGTAATTTGTTTTGGCTTTTTAATGATTTATTTGAACTCTTCTATTTCTGGTGTGTAATGATTATATAGCATGCACCTTTAAGAATTTGTGGGGGGGATTTCTGTAACCCACACAAACGTACACATACAGGGTCAAATATATTCAGACAGTCACTTAAATCTTTTATTAAGTGGTGCTGAAGTCTCTAAAGTGTACTTTAACTAGCAAGGCCAAGCCCTACTAACTTCTCAGTAGTGATCATGATTGACAATGACTGGTGGTTTCTCTTTGTCTACATAAAACATGTTTGGCATCACTCATTGGACTGACAAATATCATGAACAATGAGAAAGTCCAAGGAACTCAATTAAGATCTGAATTTACAGAAATTTGGAAGGTCTCTTGGAGACATTTCTAAGCAATTACAGATTCCAGGATCATCAGTTCAAACAATTGTACAAAAGTACGAGGTATACAAGTGTGTCATCCAGGGGTGACGCAGCATGAACTGGAAACTGCTGGAACACCACTGTCATTTGGCCAGAATGATAAGGTGTGTTTGAAGGAGTAAAGGTGGGGCTTTTAAACCTAAAAACACTATACCAGCAAGAACAGCACAGAGTTACTTATTCTCTAAATCTCATTTTTCTTCTGGAGGGCTGCTTTAAAAAAAAATGTAACCAGTCTTAAATATTTCTTAATTTAATTTGTCCAAGTGCTTTTCATATCCCTTTGTGATATTTGGCTAAAACAATTATGTTTTTGTACTCAGCCTTCCTTTAACAAAATATCCTGAATCATTAGATGTGGAGACTGTAAACTGTGGCCCAGTAAGTGTGAAAATAGGATATTTATCACTGACAACAAAAAGAAGGATTAGATTAGAATCAGTATGTGTGTAATTAATTTATTTTTACTTACAACTGGCACGGCTGTAATTAAACAGCTAGCAGAAATTTCTTAATTGTTTATTTATTGCAAAACAATAGACATGGAGGAGGCTCTGATGAGAAATCAATCAAATACAGTTTATACACGAGATGATAAAATAATAAGAATATGTAAACATATCTATATAAACCTTTGGGAATGTCTTGAAAGACAGAAAGTGACCTGGTGTTGTCTTTCCAAAGTTGTGTAGCTACTGCACAGAATGAAGTGGGGTGATCAGAGCAAACTAGCCTATTTTGTACACAATATGGTAATATTTCTGATATGAATCTAGATTTAACCTTTTGTTTTCAAGTGAGTTCTGTGAAGTACTTTGTGTTTGATTCCACAAGTTGGCACCTGATGATGATGATGATGAAGCTCAGTTCTCATTTTGCTTTTAGGTTTGTTTTTGTTTTTTTGAGGAACAGATGTTTATTAGTTCTCAAGATGCAGAAGCAAGATCCAGGACGATAACTGCAAAATTAAGTTTTGACTGGATGGATGATTTGAGTTGCAGATATTCCAGAAAATGTCTGCTTCTCATGCCATTGCCTCTTGATGAAGTAGGAGAATGAGAGCAGGATATTAATTTGAGAAATATGTTGCAGATGTGTGATACATTTTCCATACAGTGTACATCAAATGTTAGAGTAGAAATAGATGGTGCAACCTGTCAGTTATTGTTGCTGTTAATGTTTTGAAACAATGCTGTTTGAGTGTCTGACAGGAGCATGATTGATCTGAAACTAAGATGTCTTTACAGACTGTTTGATCTCTAACTTATCTGATCATTTAAGACGTCTCCATGATGAAAATGATTAAAACATTGTGCTCCTTGTCCTCTTTTGTTTTTGTTTGTTTGTTTTGTGGGGGGGGGGGGGTGTTTTTGGGAAGGGTTGTCTGTTTAATTCTTGTTGTCTTTTAATTCTTGTTGTCTTGTTTTTCTTGTAGTATTTAGGAATTATACGGTTGGCAGCAGGACGAGTTGAGATAACTGAATAAATAATTTATTTTTAGAAGATATTGATGTTTTAACAATTGGAATTCAGCCTGTGATGAATAGTGGTAGATTGATCCAATGCTCAAGGTCATCATTTATTATTTTAAGTAGTGGAGTGAAACTGAGTCCAACCAGCATTGACAGCCAAAGGAAGGCATTGATGCCTGAGTATGTGATGTGACCTGTGCATTATGGGATTGGTAATGTATTGTCTGCTACATTCCAACTATGACTGTATAGGAGGAGAGAAGATTTATTTCAGTAAATTGAGTAATCAGAGATTTTTTGGGGGGGATTCAGAAAGCTCTATCGTCTAATGCACTACCTTATGATGTTTATTTAATGTTTGCATTCCTTTGATGCAAGTGTTCTGAATTTTTTAAGAGCTGGGATACACACAAGGCTTGCAGGTGACATCCAAGGGCCCACAGACCATCCGTAAGGCAGAGGGAGAGAGTGTGACCTTGGGATGCAGCTACAAATCAAGCCCTCGTGACACTGGGGAACTTGACATTGAATGGTCTGTGATCAGTCCAGACACCACACAGAAAGATCAAATGGTAAGAAGTAATGTGAGGTCGACCCAGACAATGCTATCTATAAAATGCATACAGGATGAATTTACTAATTGGAGTATTCAGAAGTTTTGTTATTTTATGCCATTTCAAATGTTTGGTAATATTTTGGGTCTATGTACCAGTTATTTTTGAGAATATGTTCTTTGGGACAGATTGTTCCAGTTAAAAAAATCTACAGTTAAGTAGTTCCACTGTTTCCTTATTATTCATTAACTCTTTCAGATTTTATTCTTTCATGTTAAAGTTGAGTCATGCCTATATTTTTGCATGTCAATCTGACCGGCTGTAGCACTCAATAAAAAAGACTGGCATGCCCTTCACTGAAGCGCATTGAATGTTGTCTCCATTTTCCCATTAATTTATTAGTGAGTCACAAATGCATTTCCAATAATAGCATCTGAAATTGTTAGCAAATGATTTGAACACGAAGGTCCATGAAATGAAAGATTTCAACATCTCTCACCATACTCAAACAAAGGTTCTGAATACAGCTAAGCGAGCTTATTAATGTTGCTGTTCCTGTTACTCATCACCACAGCAGATCATCTGTTTGAATCTCTTCCTGCCCTCTACATCCTTACCAGCCACTTGCAAATCTTCTCTCACCACACCCATAAACCTCCTCTTCGGCCTTTTTCTTTTTCTCTCACATAACAGCTCCCTCTTCAACATGCTTATCCCAGCATACCGGGTCTCGTTCCTCTTCACATTTCCAAACCAGCTCAATCTTGCCTCTCTTACTCCGTCCCGCATCTGTCAATCTCACCTGAGCTGTTGCTCTGATATACTCGCTCTTAATCCTGCTTATCATTTTCAGTCCCAATGCAAATCTTTGCAATCTTTAACTCAGCTGTCACCATCTCTGACCCACATAGGAGAGCTGTGTTAACTACCATCTTGTACACCATCCCTTTTGGTAGACTTTTGTCATCAATCACTCTATTCACCACAAACTGCATGCACCCCTAATTAGGTGTCAAAAAAAACCACTTCACAAAACAATCCCTAAATCTTTTAATCTATTCGGATTTCACATCGTCTTTTTCTATTCTAAATCTCATGTGGTGCACATGCACCCTAAACCTCTAAGTCTAAACTAATGTTCATTCAAGGAGACTGGAGAGTTGATGAACTCTCACTACCTTTTAATTTCACAGGAATTAGTTGTTTATCCCATTTGCCTTTTAAATTAAACAAGTCATTAGTGTTTAAGACTCGGGAGAACGTTTTTCCCCCCTTTCATCTCTCCCTATGCAAAGTCGACGATTGACTAGATCTACTATGTATAATGTACCAATATTAAACACATTGTAAAATTGTGGTCTAAGTCAAAATTTAATGTGATATATTGTAGTTTAACGTATAAAGTAGTAGAGGCTTTGCTCCTAATTGTAAACTACTAGACCTATTTATGCACATTTCCAGCTTCATGTCTTTATTCTTGTTTACTAGGGGGTGGTTTTTGCATAATTCACAGTTCAAAATAATCATCATTTATCCTCCTCTGGGCTTTGGTACTTATTTTAGTTCTGTCTAAAAAAAAAGCAGTTTTAGTTTCTGTCTCTTTGAGCCCATTCTTCCTTTTTGCCAACTTTCTTCTGACTGCCTGACAAAGGTTTGAACAGCTGGCAGATGGAGCTGGATCTAAAACTGTGACTGAAATGATGGATATCTTTTTTGACTGACATCATACATAGCCAAGAGTAGAAAAAATGTGGAGCACATATTGCATGACTTTTGTGTGTGTGTCTTATAGAGGGTACTTTTACTCAGTGACCTCATCACTTTTGCCATGTTTAGTGAACAAAAAGGAAACATCTGAAAATAAGGAACAAATAATAGCTCCTCCTTAAAGAACTTACAACCAGCTAATGAGCACACAACTCTAATATCTGACCAAAAAGAGTATATAGATATGTTAATGTGCAATCAAACAATTTTTCATTTACAAGTCTTGCAAATGGGAAAAATCCTGTCATCCATATAAAACCAAAACTTGAAAGCATTCATTTTGAGTTGTTTCTCTTTTTGATGATGTGCAGATACACTACAGATCTCCCTGATTTGTTCTTGGTTAAATGAGGAAAAAAAATCTAACTGCATTTCCATTTCTTACTAACTAGTTATTATGCCTTTTGGTGCTTGGCAGGTTTTTTTTTTTTTTGGGTTTTTTTGCTGCTCCCTGCTGTTGCTGGAAATGAGACTGATGAGTGTTGTGAAACTGAGCCACAGTAAACGTGCTTTAAAAGTAAAACACTGAACTAAAAGAGATTTTTAGAGACCCTCTGAGGCCCAGATTTGGTGGTAATTCAACCAAGCACTCATGGTACATTTAATTTAAGAAGACTGCATTTAACATTAACACCATTTCAGTCAATTGCTGAATTACGCTTATATTTGTCTTTATTTTTTCCATCAGCTTGTATCCTATACCAGTGGCACTAAGTACTTCTATGGTAACCATGCATTTGAAAAAGAGCTCAGCTTTGCTGCTGGTGATCCCTCGATGGGTGATGCTTCACTGTCGATTGCTCTGCTGTCACCTGCTCACACCGCTACCTACCAATGTAAAGTGAAGAAAGCACCTGGAGTGGACATGCACAAGATGTCACTGGTGGTAATGGGTAAGACCAGGCTTTAGGTTGCGTCTCGCTGCATTATTTATGTCCATCACCTTTCCAAACTGCAGTGTTCTTGGTGTTTAGTACTTCAGGAGGCACCTATTCTATTTAAGACTTGTCATGTCATAGTGTGATTGAGGATGGAGAATGCTAGTGATATGGTGCGACAGAGGCAGGTGATCCTCTGCGGTGACCCCCTAAAGGGGGCAACCAAAAGAAGTAGTAGTAAGAAAAAATTATTTATTTGATGACAAGTGAGTCCCTAAATTTGTGTTAAATGGGCTGATTTGATCTAGTGCTTCAACCATTTAATCTGCAATAAAGTTTCCCTGCTTTGTTAGAACATGCATTTTACTCCTTTTTATAACGCATTACAAAACCGATCACTTAGAACTCATCATTTTTTAGAGTCCAGTAATCAATTGCGGGATTGTGAATACTTGCATGATTGAATTACACAATCTGAAATGAAGGTTCACTTACTAGCTTTCTCTGGACATCAGTCTTCATCAGTAGATGGAGTTTGCTGCGAATAGGCCGGTGTGTTTGCAATTTTACAAATGGAAATGAATGAACTGAAGGAAGATGGCTTTGTCTAAAACTAATGACACTTCACTAAGAGCCATTTGTCAGTGTACTGAATCTTAAAGTTTGCCAGTTGGGAAAAGGAACTTACTTAGTCAATCTCATCTATTTTGAAGACTGAGCAGTAACTGCGGTGGAGGACAGTCACCTCGCTGCCAGACTTACAGTGGAGTATGGTATTAAATAATGTGTCTCATAATGGAGCAGATAATTGATGCAGTCCAACTCTCTCAGAAGTCCTGTAGAACCTACATCCACAAGTCTAAACTGAAAGTGTACAACGTATTGTACAACTGTAGTGATGAAACATTCTTCAAAAAATACAAGTTTGCAAGCAATCTCGCAGCTAGGTCTCGGGATAGGAAGGAAATAACATACATTATTGTTTTGCAGTAATGTTTCAATTTAATAAAACATTTTTTGGGTTTAAAATGACCTGAAGAACATAATCTATCCAACCTGGGACCAAATTACCTACCTATATCTACCACAGCCTGAGTTATTTCTCCAATATTTTCCAAGAAGCATTTAAGTGTTCTAAAATTCCAGATAACATCACCTCCCTCCTCAATGAAACGTACACATTGTTAAATAAATATCCATACCCCACTCTTATATGTCAGCAGATAACCCATAGCTATTTTCTTGCTGACAGCAACACAAGGCAGTCCTGAGAGCCAGCAATTCATTTTATAGATTAGACTCCTTGTGCGATCGTGTATAGCATAAGTCGTTTGAAAAAAATATCTGGAGAAATTGGGGGGCAGATTTTTGTAAATCGTCTTTTACTATGTAAATTGTGCAAATGTGCAACATGCCCAGAGTATTGTGTAACATTTTCAGTCTCACCCTAATGGGTAGCAATTTCGACCCTCTCACATCTCTTCACAACAAGATGGCATTGGTGTCTAAATTGTTCAGCCTTGCCATCATTAGCCATCAAGCTTTAACTCCATAAGGATTTGAAACATTAATTTGTCTTGGAGATGTCCTTTTTTGGGGTGATTCATAGATTTTATAGCATATCTGAGTTGGAAAACAAAAACAAGAAAACTCTCTGTATTGTTTGTATATGTGGCAAAACTCAGTCAAAAAGGTTCCCCCTTTTTCATCCTAAAGCTATAAAGCTGTGCTGTTTTATTTCATTTTCTTTTCCCTTTCATTTGAAAGGGAAGGAAATAGAATGGAAATGGCAATGGAAAATTATCCATTTGTTGTATGATTTCAGCGAAGCCGTCTGTACCTAAGTGCTGGGTGGAGGGAGGGGAACTGATTGGCAATCCTGTGTCTCTGCACTGCGAGTCTGCAAAAGGCTCCACTCCCTTAAAATACACATGGAGGAGAGAAAGAGCTGGCTCGATCGCTGATGGAGCCGCACAGAGTAAGTGTGACCTCTGCTGATGTCACAATGATACTGCACATCAAAGAGAATATGTGCATACTCGAGAGTCTATGTATGTGTATATGCGTGTGTTGGAGGTTTGGAGGGGTGGGGGCGGGTGCCTTGGGACTGGGGCACTGTATCATTTGATGCTGTGTGAGCAAAAACTCAATGAAAATCATTTTCTTTGTGAGCGTCTATTATTTGCTAACTTTGTCACCTTTGTTCCAACAAAAATACATTTTTTTCATTGATTGCTTACATGGCAAAACTCCTGGGTGGCAATATTTGATAATAACATAAACCCTGTAGCTTATTTTAAGCAAGACTATTATAATGGTAGCATTTTACCATGTTACTTGCTTTTCTCCACATTAGTTCTCACTCTACAACTAGAAACATCTCCTTGTTCTTCCCAAACATATTTACTGCAAACTACATTGATCAGTGCCTTATATAAGCAGGGAACAAGAAACACACTGCTTGCATGCATACGTAATGAAAATCTGCTCCAAACCTGCATACTAATGAGCTTCATGTTTTTTTGTTTTTTCATGTAGAGATGGCAGTTTGATCAATTTTCATTTGAGCGCCTTATAATGTACAGTATGTATACCCTGAATTCATCTATACTTGTTGGCACGTGCTCATTTTCCCAGACAGTGTGACCGGAGAGCTGAAAATCCGCAACCACTCAGAGAGCTTTGCAGGAATCTACCTTTGTGAAGCAAACAATGCTGTTGGAGTAGAAAGCTGCACGCTGAACCTGAAAGCCAACAAACGTAAGAAAGCACGCTCACACAGACTGCTTGTGTTCACATGCATGACGGATGACGCACACATCAGATCATGAAAGACGTGGATGTTCGAGTTCATCCTCTTAAATCTCCTCTCTTTGTAGCTGTGCCAAAATCTCCTCTTTGCTGTGCTTTTCACACACTGTAACATTAGTGTGACGTTCCTTTTATGCTGTCTAACGATGATGGGAGAGAGACGCTTTCCGTGACAAGAAAAACATTTATTCGTTGAAAGTTTTTAGCCTTCTGTTTTTCATCGCTAACTTTTTCCGGTGTTAAATCCCAAATTCACACAAGTGTAAAGCTATGATAATTCTGCTGCCAGCAGGTCTGCAGACCCTGTTGGCTTTCTACAATGTAGATGAAACAAAGCAAAAGCCGTGTCAAAAAAAATATGTGGACTAATTAAATACAAGCAGAAACGCTAACCAATTTTAAGTGAGATGCCTTAAATGAGGGCAATCTATGTACAGTAATACATTTAAACAAGACAGATATGAGGGGTATAGCAGAGCAGTATCACAGGCAATGAATCTGTTGACAGTGAGTGCACCAGTGGGAAGTACAGTCTGTGTTACAGCCTGCCAGTACAGATGAGATCATCATTTAGTTTAAGACTCACACAACCATCTGCATCCGTTGGATCCATAGCACAAGTTTCTTTTTGGGCCTTATGATCTTTGGAGCAGGCCCCAGTGCATCTCGTCAGGTCCAGAGCCCCTTGAATAAGTGCTTAGATGTTATGCTTCGAACAGTGAATCATTCATAGTCATTCATTTTTATTCCAAGTGCAGGCTTCTGTCCTACACAAGAAGTGTCAACCCTTAGGCTCGTGGCCCTCAACCAAGGATTTGCAGCATAATTAGTGGCATATTATGGAATAAAAGCAGGTAGAAACAGTATAAAACTAGCAGTTTTTAAACTGCCAGGAAATACATTATTATACATTCATGCTTTTACATCCAAGTCTCAGGAAACCTACGTGTAGTTTTCATTGGACTACACTGATTTGGTCTACTATTGGCAATGGGGACATAATTTAAAGCACAACTGTGTTCTCCAGTAAACTTGAGCTCAGAAAGAGTGACATTTCCTGATCTGATAACAGCACTCAAAATCTGACAGGCATTGATGTCCCAGCATGATCTGACAATGTTTCAGTGTGCAATAATGAAACATCCATGATATGGCTTTAAGGCATTTTGGGCCCATTGTCCTGCTGCAATATGAATCCTTCTCCACAAAGACTGCCAACCACAGGGTGACGCATGCCACGTAGCATATCTCTATGAAAACTGGAGTGGTACTCCTCCTTGGTCAGGGTGAAAGTAAAATCACCCTACTATCATTCACTGTGAGCTTGATACACTGCAGTATCATTCTTTCCCCTGTTTGTCTCCTTTCACACACCTGTCTGCTAACACTACAAATCTCAAGCATCCACCATAAAATCCGGATATATTTCATCCCACACCAAGAGTTGTTCCTCCTCCTGAGAGGTGGACTGCTACTTAATGTATTGATCTGTGGATGGTGTGCTTACCTTCGGTGTGCCTGATCATGCTTTGAATACAACTGTTGCACTTTCTGCAAAGGATTCTTGAGTACCATGCACCGTCACCTTAGAAACCCTCCGCCTATCCATTATTTGCCACAGAGAGAGAGCCCTTCTGTGTTTAGAATAATAATTTGACTTGACTTTTTCTTAGCTATGCTAAAATACTGCTACAGTTAAACAGAGTCAGCAATATTCTGCTGGAAACCCAAGGCATTGCCATGTTTATAACAGGTGAGCAATGGCTGTAAGTTAATTTACTTGAAAAAGCTGCTCATGAGTATATTAAGTATATCAGCCAAGCACTTTGCATGTGTTAGTGTGTGAAAGGAGAGATGTGTTAGAAAGCATTTTGTAGAGCCAAGCTAAAGTGATATGCAAGTTCAAACATTTACTCAAGAAAATCAGAAATTCCTAAACCATTTTCAAGTACAGACAGACAGAGATAGACAGAGTGAGGCCCATAAGTAATTGGATAAGATCACAGTTTAGCCTCTGGTGTACAGAGGCACAGTTCAAATCAATCAAGATGTGACTGAACTGTAGACTTTCCGCTTGGAGAGGGGTTTAACAAAAGTATGACAATTAATTGTTTAGGAATTACAGTTTTTTATACTTTTATTTCTTTGAAACAAGATGTTAAAACAGAACTTCAGGGTGAATAATTTAATGTTTTTCATACTTATTTTGCAGCTCCAAACAGAGCTGCTGTGATAGTTGGCACCATTGTTGGTTCCCTGCTCCTCATCTTTATCTTCCTGGTCTTTGTTGTGCTTCTGTACTGGAAGTTGAGCAGCAGACATCGCTATGAGAAGGAATTTTCCAATGACATCAGGTACAGTGCAGATACACCAGTGCATTTTAAGATGATGATGATGGGCAGATAACTTACTTTGCTAAACCTCAGCTTCTATTAGTGCTGAATTTTACCAGCATGCTGTGAACATTTGGATAGTACATTGTGTGATGTACGTTTTTTGTTTTTTTGTTTTTAATCAAAACCGTGACACCAACGGCAGAGCTTTAACAGGCAGAGAGGCAATTAAACTGTAAGATATTAAACAACACACATCAAAGCCATTCAGATAAGAATAGAATATAAATCCCAGATATCAATTAAAACCAAACAAGAAACATGCAAATACAACAAAAGTATAGGGGAAAAAATGACATGACACTCCATGCGGTAACATATCTCTTCTCCACCAGAGCTTTTTTTAAAAAAAAAAAGTTATGATTCTTTTTACCTTTTTTTGTAATTTAAGTGTTTATTGAAGTTATGCATAAAATAAAATGTACAGTATTTGATGGCTTCCTTTGTTCTAAGACTCATAGACAGTAGTCTGGATGACCGCCATCACTTCAAGTACTTTTCCTTCACGCAGGTATGAAAACAAGAGAAAGAAAAGGAACAAACAGAAAAACAACACACAAACAAAGAAACGTGTACAGATGGATACAGTTTGTAACTATATACATCCAGAGACAGGGCAATTGAAGTAGCAGATGGTGACATAGCATTAGTACATGTTATTATAGAAAACAAACAAAATAAACAAACAAACATTTAAACAACCATTCTTTCAATGATGAATATCAGCGATATCTGGCCTTATAGAACTCGGAGCCATTTTCCCCAGTGTTTTACAAATTTCTCATACTCAAAATTCACTAAAAAAGTAATCTTTTCCATCTTCTAAATCTCAAAAGTTACATCAATCCAGCTGTTTAATGTTGGTGGATCCTGTGTTAGCCACCTTTTGGTCAGTGACTTTTTACTTGCAGCTAGCAGCACACCAAGTAAGTATTTATCTATACCCTTTATGTCTGAGGGTATGTATCCTAAAAATATGGAGTTGAAATTAAAGTGTAAATATGTACTAAATATGTTTTGCATCACTTTATGGACTTCTCTCCAGTAGTTCTTAATATTCTTACAATCCCAAAATATATCGTAGTGGTGTGCTGTTTCGTAGCCACAGTTTCTCCAACATTCACAACTTCCATCATCATAATGCGCTTTTAAAGCTGGGGTAGTGAAAAAACGAACAACACTTTTCCAGCAGAATTCCTTCCACATATGTGAGTTGGATAAATGCCCTCGCTGTAGTGGGTATTTGGTTTTTAATGTTTCGAGTACAGAAGTTTCTTAACTGTAAGTATCTAAGTGGTCTTGGTTTTCTAAATGAAACGTTTGCTTTAAAGTTTGGAAACTCATAATTTCATCTTCCTTTACAATATCACATATCAATGTGATTCCTTTATCTATCCAGTTTTTAAAACTAGGGTCTATTTGATTTGGTGTGAATTCCGAATCATATGCACACCATTTTAATATTTTTATATCCTTCTCCAGCTTATTTTCTTTTACCACCATTTTCCAAACCCCTAGTGTGGCCTTTACCCAAGGATTTCTTATTTTGGAAATGTAGTCCTGTAGATTTCTATCTGCTAGAACTGCCTGTGTATGCATATTGGTTATTGTTTTGCATTCAATTTCCTTCCATGCTGCTACATATGAGGGATCGCACCAGTGCAACACTACCCTGATCATTGCTGAAGTATAGTATTTTTTTAAACATGGTAGGCCCCAGCCGCCATACTCTTTGGGCAGTTGTAATGTTTTGTATCGTATTCTGGGTCGTTTCCCTTGTCATATAAATCTAGAGATCGGTTTATCCCATTCAATAGAATCTTCTTGATTAATCTGGAGTGGGAGGGTCTGAAATAAATATAAACATCTTGGTAAAACATTAATTTTGATGGTTTCTATTCTAGAGCTTATGCTCAGACATGGATATGATTCCATTTTGTAAGGTCATCTTTGACTCTTTGATATACTGACATTTATTGTAACCTGCGATTTTTCTGTTTTGCCTTATATGTTGGGCTAGTGGCTCCAGAAATATAGCAAAGAGAAGAGGAGACCAGGCACAGCCTTGTCTCACTCCCCTCTCCAATGTTAGAGGTTGACCTAATCCTAAACCTCGCAGTCGGGTTATCATATAATGCAAAATGTTATGATTCAATTCCTGTTCTCCACATTCATCACTACAATGCAGATTTTTTTAACACCTTAAATCAAGGTGTTAATTTTATTCAGGGAGGGTAATGCAAATATAGTACACATGCTGACCTTATAACTTTTAAAACATACAGAACGGCAGTGGATACCACAAGTGTCTGGAGCAGTTTCTTAGATCTGTCTTTGAAATATCCTCCACGCTACACCATTAAATTTTTTATTTTTTTAAAATAACAAACTTTAATGCTCAATCTTTTGCAATTTTGTATTTGTGGTTTAGTAGCTTAGGGGACTACATATTCAATTGTGTTCTGCAGCCTTTTGTAATTATAATTTAGAGAGCTTTAATTTTGGAAGGAATGTCAGACTTCCTATTTGATATAGAGAAAGCCTGACAAAGTGGAATGTAATGTTATTTAAAAGTACTGTTTTACTACTAAAAAAAACAGAGAAACATGTGGAACATGGTTGCATTTTTCAAGCAAAAGCTTTTAAAATAATATTCTTTGCTTTATGGAGGATCAGTACATAAGATCACTGACTTCTGCACCCTAATTATAGCTTAGGGTAAAGACTAGAAACAAAAATTTAATTCTATTGATTGCCTTTTTTTTGTGGCAGATCATAAATAGATAGCTATTGAAAGAAAAAAATGTTATAGCAGTGAGTACTGGTGTATATAATGTTTAAATCTCCAGTAAGCCAAACATTTTTAGCCCAAAGTCTGATCAACGTTTATGTAAACATATGTGTTATTTTAGAGGTTATATTTTGTAGGTAATATACACTCCACAGAATTGCATTAAGGTTTGGACAGTCAAAACACAAAAATTGTCTTCAGCAAATCCCAAAGGTCTCCACCAGTGGGGGTAAGATCCAGACTCTATGGTGGTAAAAATCCATGTATGAAAATAATGCTTTCTGAACCACTCATTCACAATTTCGCCTCAGCGAATCCAAATTCGGGGGGGGGGGACAAATTGTAGTTCTAAGTCAAACTACAACTTGACTTAGAACTGTTTTCATGGGTGACAGTCATGCGTTTGGCCCATTTTTGCACAACCTGCTGGATTTGTTTACTTTTTTTCTTTTATCTTACCTGATAGCCTAGAGGCTTTCGGGTAGAAAGCCCCGAAGGCTAACTTCCCCCGCTATTAGCGTCAGTCAATCCTACCTCCAAATACATCATTTCACTGGCTTGAAAAGATTTTGTAAAACTTTGCCATCCTCTGTAACTCTCTGCAGATTTCAAAAGCAGAGGATGTTCAAAGTGCATAATGTAAGGCAGTATTAAACACTGGCATGTAAACCATCTAAAAGTACTTTTAAAGAAAACTGAATTATTTAAAGTAAAATAAAATGTGTCCCACAAATATTGAAATAAATATGCAGAGAATGGAGTTCAATACATCCATCCATTTTTTGCTTATCCATTCAGTGTCATTCATACTTCTGTTTAGAATCATGTAACCCTATTAACCCTTTAAAGCCGGTCGGAGCAGCAC